AAGGTTAGTACTTAGGTTTTATCAATAAGCCAAAACCAAATTAGGCTTTCACCAATCGCCCGTCCCTGTGGTGTTTGGAGGCTTCGCCTAGAGATTGGAATATATGATTCTGCCACTTTGATGCATAGTTGGTCTCTATGTAAGTGTCAATGTAATATTGTTACTCATTATGTAATAAACACTATGCTTGATACTTTGTAATTTATTGTCATATATGTGTGATTGATTCCTGGGCACACATATGGTGTACATCTGGTTTTGTTCATGGTTAAAGAAAACCTCATATCAAATGTTTTGTGCCACTTGACTCCGTATAGAACATGTAATTTTTTTCACTTTAGCTCACACTTAGCTCTAGTCTCACATGGACCATGTTGTGTTATTATTTGTTAATATTTATGCTACTGAGGATTAGACCGTGGAATTTTAAAGATGCCATCTTTATGTAATGCCTCACTTATACTCACTAGTATAGTGCCCGTGCTAACGCTATGGCTACATTTAATAATACAAATCAAACAACCAATAAAATATATTGCCAATAGGAAAAAGAATGCATGGAAAATAAAATGAGATGACAATAAAATATATTACCAATGGGAAAAAGAATAGGCCATATAGAAGATTTTGGAGTATTATGCTCCAAACTTCTGATTGCTTTCACTTAAAGCCAGCGAAACATCGAGAGTTCCCAACATAGAACAAACATTTTAGCAAATCTCTTGCAGGTTTTAGAAACATTATGAGGCAATACAAATAATGCAGCAAACTAAAAAGTCATGTGCAAAATACACCACTTGCGTTGTGTCTCACTGATCTTGGCAAATCTTAATTTGGGGTTCGCCTGGACTAACACCGGCTTCCTTTACATAAGAATTTGGCATGTTCCACTACCTTGTATTTGGATGAGTGCCATGCTGCTGAACCAAAGCCTTATGCAACCCAGCATGACGTGTGTTTCTTGCCAATTGGGAGCTCGCGGCCTGATTCATGCACAAAATAGTATATACTTATCAATGCAAATTAGACACAAAACTTTATAGTGACCAAACATTTACAGGAAAATGGCAAAGAAATGCTAGGTAACATGAGTTCTTGATGAACTTGATCACTTGGAGACGGTTGCACCCTACATATCAATGTCAACGGATGACAAATGGATCATGCTAACCTGGTTATTTAACATGGGACACTGAGTTTAAGAGTAATGGATACTCACAAAGCAACTTCCGAACTACCAGGATCTCGTACCTGACGAGAACAGGTAATCATTAGATTTGCAACAGGGTAAACAAATAGCTTTCACCGTATATGCTAACCATTGCAAATAGTAAGGCTTGATTTAATCTTAATCTAACGAAACTGCAACATGGAAAGAAATTCCAAGAAACTAATAGCAAACTGTTATGTTATTAAGCAAACCAAATATTGGGGCTTGCAGATCCATGAGCCCTAACAAAATCAGCAAGAGCTCTCTTTTGACATAGATTTGGGGAACAAAATCTTCAATATCTAACAGAATTCATCGAAGAAGAAGATGTACAACAAGAACTCAATTGTCGTAAATGCTGCCCAAAGTTAAGACAGAAACTTATTCTTTTTTTTTAAATTGCGCCTAAACCTTCATTGCAAAAATTTTGAAAATTTGTGAGTATACTATGGCCTCCAAACCTACAGGTTTGTAAACTACATCGATTTCTGATTTGAAGTCATTCTTATCGGGTAAAACCAGTGGGGGTAAATACCCTAGCAACTTAGCTGAAATCACCGATCACAGATTTCCACCCCTAAAAAACAAATTCATATCAGACTTCTAGAGCTCCTCTAAAGATCTATTTTGCCAATCTAGAATATATATTTCATTGTTGCAAGTACAATATGCTTCAAAGAAGTTGTAGGGTGCACTCAGAAAGAAAAAAATAACCGCATGCACGAACATGATACAGCAGAAGTTTACTTCTCTAACAAAGCAGATGTGTGATCTTCCTCAAAGAAATAGTGTGGGTATATGAAATCACATTACTTGTCTTGTGTCAAGTTACACCTGTCTCTCCACTTCAACAAAGACTCTGTTCAAACCAGGTGAAGCACTTGCTAACGCTTACGGCCACCATTAAGTCCGTATAAACGCTTATGGCCACCATTAAGTCCACTGTGATATTTAATTGTTGGAAATCCGATGCTATTCCATGTTATAGAATGAACATGTCAGTACCCTCATCTCGTAGTCGGGTTCCATTAGGACAAACAGAGGTATAAGGAAAAATGATAGCTAAATATGAAATGAACACATGACAAGTACCCTCATCTCAGTAGTCAAAACATGGTATAAGGAAAACTGATAGCTAAATATGGAAAACATTATCCGTGAACACAGTAGAGAATATGTAAACTTTCCAAATACAACTATCTCTCAATGGTGCAATCACGTAATCACTTATATAATATACAGTGTCTGAGCACAACCAGAGATAAATGGCTTAATGTTCATAGTTACAAGCCTACATGTATATTTTACAAATACAAGGAACTATATTAGTTTCTGAATTTCTAACTGAAAAAAGTTACTCACGATCTATTCGAGGCAAAGATCGATGTTAATCATCATAGGTCCCGCTTGCCAACCATCTAGCCAAAACACTCCATCGTGGAGATTCTTGCTCTGCACTGTGATGCATATCTGAACAACTATTGCGGGCGAGATATACCTTAGCATCTCTATGAGCATATCAAAACCAGCACCTGCATTAAATAAAAATGCAAAAAGAAAACATTACTGAATCAAGTATGTGGTAAGACCAAGCAAATCAGCTCTCCCATGACTAAGAGATACCTTTTACCCACCAGGAGTATTGACAATTAGTGGCAGCATTTCATTCGATCGCATCGATATTTTCCAACGAAATAATCAAGTACAAATGGAATAGGAAATTTGATATGCTTCGCATTTCTTTTTTGAAGAAATGTCACCAAAGAAGTAGGACCTAATCAAATTTGTAAATGGCATTAGTAAAACCCATGCAGAGATAACATAAGTGAGGAATATTAAACAAAACGCGTTTGCTCGCAAAACTTTAAAAGTTACATGGTCGTGCTAACAAACTACTACAACTGTTCCAAAGAAACAGACGAAGAAATCCCACAATAGAAATTGTGTACAAATCTCAAGTGAAGAAATCAAATGAAATTACCACACACTGCTGCACTACCAGCTAATCACAAATCCTGAGGAGAAATTTTACACCTTTCAAACTTCACGTAGAACCAGTTTAGCAAACCAGCCCAAGCAAAAAATCATCTTGTTCGTGATTTACACCTGTGAGCTGTGGCACAACTATCAGCACATAGATTTCAAAAAACAAAACTAACATTTTCTATACACATCTTAATTGCTTTAGACGATCAAAATATTCACGGAATCGTAAATCATACCACCAGTGGTGGGCGGCGCTGGCGACCTTGTGGTCGCCGTCCCCGGCGCCACGCCTCCTCGAGCCCATGCCGCCGCCGCTGAGCCTCAAGCCACACATCCCAAGCCCTTATCGCATCTCGAGGGTACACGCCGTGCCTCCCTAGCCCGCGTCGCTGCGGCCTCCTAGGCCTCGTGGAAGCTGCACCCGCCATCCCCTGACCAGCAGCCGGCCGCCATCATCTCGGACCACGCGCATCGGCATCCCAAGCCCACGTCTCCATATCTCGAGCCTCCCATGGCCGCCTCCTAGGCCAAGCGCCACCGCATCTGTGGCCGAGCCGCCGCCGTCTTCCAAAGCGGCGATGGCTGCACCTAGAGGCCAAGCCTTGGCACGGTGCTTTGAGGAGGGGGAGAGAGGGCCGGCCAAGTAGACGAGGGAGAGGGAGGCGCGGCCGTCGGGGGAGCCTACGGTCTACGCCGAGCGCGGCCACCGCCAGCCAAAAAGCTAACCGTCCGTCGGACTGGGAGAAGGAGACGGAGGCGCTTGACGAGGACGGAGAGAGGGGCACGGTGCTGGCCAGTGTGGAAGATGGAGATGCCGGCCGGAGAAGGATGCTGTGGGTGGAGAGGGAGGCGCCGCCGCCGGCTAGTCGCGATGCGTGGCTGTTGGCTCTCTTCCCGGAGGCCGGAGCATAGCATCGATGTCTCTTTTTTTCAGAAAATTGGGGGAAAAAAGGGTGCCTAGGAATCGGATTTGGGATGCGCTACGAGGTTTGGTAAGAGAAAGAAGAGATTAGAGTGTATCTCGTGCATTCGTTTTAAAAGTTAGCTGACTTTAGGTGTACTTTTTTTGGATGCACGTAGAATAGTTTAGACTGTGGTTGACAGTTTTTTTTAGCTTTAGGAAAGTTCACAACCTGTGTATTATTAGTGGTAGAGATATAGCTCTCTTTTGCTTATTCCTCTTGTACCACCGGTCAGTAAGTGTTGGTTAAGGCTTAGCTCTCTTTAATTTAACAATGAATTAAAACATTTTTATCAGGCGCAATCTAAAATACATGTTTCAAATATCGACATAATCTCAACATCTATAACACCAAATAGGTTATACAGTAAAATATATTTCATGGTGTCATAAATATTGATGAATTATTTCTCTATAAATTTGATAAAACTTAACCGTCAATTGGATCCTATGAACTAGAACCAATATCTAGAAAGTTCTACTCATTTCATTATTAGACTACTTTTCAATTTCTCTCGATTCTTAGAACCAAACATATCTTTATTTTAGATGAAGGAAAATGTTTCCGGCCTACAACATTCGAGGGAATGAGTAGAGTCTTGCAATAGAAACTCAAGGATACTTAGAACCAAACAGAGCTTAAGATAATTTGATTTTGCATGACAATAGAAGTTGAGCTATTTTGAGACAGACAGGAGTATAAAAATGAAACTCGGTGATTGATGCGATTAGTAAGCGAGGACACGAAATGGAGTGAAGTATGCGTTTTGTTGGCGTGGCGGGCGTACCAAAGAGGGTGAGGTCTCCGTCCTCAAGCACCGGCGCCTCCCCGAACGGCTGCAATCAGAGCAGGGGATACTGACAGCAGGGGCCTAGAGCAGCAGCAGTAGCACGCACGTTCCTGGCGAGGTAGTCGGGGCGGCGGTGGTCGCCGGCCTCCCTGCTCATGGCGACGAGCTCGTAGTCGACGCCGGCATCCTCCAGGCACAGCAGCACCCGCGACACGAACGGCGAGATCGCCCACCCGTACACCTTCACCGCCATGTCTTGCCTGCTGCTCCATCTCTTTATCTCCCTGGATCCTGAAGTGCTTGTGTTCTCCTGGGAATTGGGGATCCGTGTGGACTGTGGAGTGAATCGACGTGTGCTTGCCACTGCTCGCTATTTGTACTACGCGAGGCCAGGCCTCAGCACTCAGCGGGTAGCGAGAGAAATCAACCAGAGAACACCGGCACAGAGATGAGTACAGTGTTGGGTCAGCATGAGCGGCTCGTGACGTCTTCGCTTGCGTCATGATAATAGGGATATTCTTTCTAGGGGAGGAACCGCGTGATTGTACTGTCAGCACGTGATGATTGATTATGAGATGGATAAGATGGTTAAATTTGTACTGATATTTAGCAGTAACATTTGCTAACAAAATATTCGACTACATCTAAACAAATGTTTTCATTATTGGTATAAACTTTAAGCCAATACTTTATAATAACATAATAAAATTTCTCTCTTATTAATTAGAGAAATGGTTAGTAATAAAGCTAACTAGTGGCTAGAAGATACCTCTGTCTATAATAACCAATCTAATAGCTCATTCGTATAATACTTTTCAATTGAAATATTTGACCACATCATTCTGTCATAGAGATTCCTTTATATTTTGGAGCCTATGAATTACCTGCAGTCCGATTTCTAAGGGAACTCCCAACCATGAAAGATGAAACTAGTTATATGTTCATTAATCAGGATCTAAACTAAGGAAAAGATGATGTGTCACTGCAATTAAAGAAGATAGATGAGGAAATAGTTTCTTAGATAAAAACCAAGATATGAGGAGATGAGATGGATAGATGATATAGAGAAGACATGTGATTAGCTAAAAAAATTGATTGATTAAAAACTATTATAAATTAATAGACAGAGAAATTATATGTGGTTTTTAGCATATATGTGGTTCAATAGGCAGAGTATATTTTTTTTTCTTGAAACTGTTGCACGCCTTAGAAAATACTAGTATACCGGAAGGGAGTAGCTAGTTTGTAAGTTTACCGTCTGTTTTGTTCTTCCTCTTCTCTAATCATTCTTCATCTCACTAAACATCTGAGATGGCATCTTTTATATAGCTTTTTTAGATTAACTTATCGTACTTGCTTTTATACATCTGTGTCTGGTTGTCTGAATACTTTACATAGGTGCCCTAAGGGCGTCCCCAGTGATGTTGACGACCTAGGCAGCTGATGTGGAACAGAGAGAAAAATAGAATGATTATTATTTATATATTCTCAGCCCGTTCGGCTGGTATGTTTTTGACCGATTTCGAATGATTCAATAGTATTCTCTCTTATGCTTGGTTGTTCCTTCGAGGCAACTGGCCCCATCTCCTGTCTAGCTTTCTCTCAGCTCCACGTCTGCATCTAGCTAGCTCCGAGCTCCCCGTTGTGGACGCCCTGATATATCTAGAAGTACCACAAAGAACAAGAAAAAAGAAGCGCCGTGATGGCTGACATGTTTCTGCGTACGGTTATCAGTTGGCCGGGTTCAGCAGTAGTAACGAATGCCCGACGTCGTCATTGGTTGCGTCCGATCCACGGTTGACCTCACGTCACACCATAAAAAATCCGATTTTGGGTCGTGAATAGAAAACACAAAATAAACCAAATATGATTTTAATATCTAGATAAAATTTTCCAAGTTTAGTTTGAGCTAGTGTAAATTTAGATATAGAAAAATATGAATTTACAAATTTTCTGAATCAATTTGACTAGTTTTTTATGGATGTGATGTTTGCTTGTTGCTTGACTTTGTGTTTGAGGGTGCAACTTTTTCAAAATACATTTAGGAATCGTCTAAATCATCTCAGCTTTGCTAATCCATCTCCTATCAATTCTGTTTATTTGCTCCATGCATTTGTTTCCTTAACACGTAATGATATATAATATAATATAATATAATGATCTTTTGTAGGTCACTCAGCTCTTTCTTGTCAATCGTCTTCTGTGAGATCTTCGAAAAGAAGTAGCACATGTGGGTGATGGCCATTTTCAAGAACTCTGGCTTTATAGCCCTGATTGCAATAGGTAGAAACACTGTCAGCATCACATGGCAATCGTGAGCCTTGCAATGTGTTATTGACAAGTCCTTCATCGATACTAGCTTCTTCACATTCACTGAAAACCCAGTCGGGACTTTAACCCTCCCTCAGGAAAGTGCATATAGCTCTCTTCTCTTCTGGGGTTTGGTTGAAGCACGCCGCGAGCAGAGTGTATTTTCTATTAGCCTCAGGTACAGGGTGAAGCTGTGGCATCACGTTTAGCTGCACCATGTATTTCCATGATTTCAGACCATCCTTTGACTTGCTTGTGTCCATCAAGGTAGCAATAAGACTCTCAAAGATATTCTTCTGCACGTGCATGGCATCAATGGCATCGGGGACCTCCAAGTCTGGCCAATAAGGCAGATACTGAAAGAAGATCGATTGTTTCTTGAAAGGTATGCCTTCGACATGAGGTGTGCTTCTATCTCTGTTCGTCCCATCCGAATTCTTCTTTCCATAGATGACGCGTATGTTTTTCACCATTATGTACATGTGTTCTCCGTTATGACGTCTCTCTGAAGGGGGTTCAATCTCCTGGGTGGTCATAAAATCTAAAAAACAATTTGCTGTGATGCTTATGACTTGTCTTTAAGAAGCGCCGGTTCCTTAGGTAAACTATCTTCTTGGATGCATTCAGGAACACACATGTAGTACCATCCAAGCAAACTAAGCATCCCGTCTTCCCTTTGATCTGTCCAGACAAAGCAAACAATGTGGGGTAATCATTGGTAGTAATAAATATTATTGCTCTACATATGAAGTCCTCCTTTCGGAATGCATCATACATCGGCTGCCCATGCCTCTATAGCCTCTCCATTTCTTGCGTCAAAGGCTCGAGGAACACGTCTATATCAATACCTGGTTGTTTAGGGCCAGAAATAAGAATAGTGATGAGAAGGTACTTTCTCTTCTGAGACAACTACATTGGGATGTTGTACATGGTCAAGATCACTGGCCAAGTGTTGTGGTCGCTCATCCTCTCATTGAAGGGATTCATTCCATCGGTGCTCAAGCCAAACCGTACATTCCTTGGGTCATCGCTGAATTCTTTGTGCTTCTCATCGATCCTTTGCCACTAACTACAATCAGCCAGGTGTGCAGTCTTATCATCATCCACCTTGCGCTCATCATCCCATTATGTCATGAGTGCAGCTTCTTTAGGGTTTAGGAACATACGTCTCAAGCGGTCGGTCACTGGCAGGTACCACATTATCAAGGCATGAATTCTTCTCTGCTTTGCATCGTTGCCTGATGGAGTGTCCTCTGGGGTCTAAGATTCTTGTACCACCTTTTTCGTACCCTTCTTATTCCTCTTTTTCCCCATGGAGGCTTCGTCCCCACCGTAAAGGTCATTATTCTTGTACCGGCTGGCCCTACACCGGGGACATTAATACAGTGACTTGAATGTCTCGCCACAAAAAAAGATACAATGGTTGGGGCATGCATGGATTTTTTCAACACCCATTGTCAATGGACTTATGACCTTCTTTGCTTGGTATGTGTTGGCGGGAACTGAGTTTGGTTGTGGCAGCACCCATGACAGGAGACACAATAGATCATTGAAACTATAGTCTGGCCAGCCGTACTTAGCCTTCAGGATGAGTAGCTCAAGCACAAAACATAACAATGTCCAGTGTATCGGACAACCCTTTTCAATACCATACACAACCTCTTTCGATGTTTTTTTCACCCTTTCAAAATTTTCTAGACCTTTCGGGCTCTTTAGTAAAATCTCTGGTCCAAGGGCTCGAATCATGTCCTCCAAATCATCTTCATCCCCGATACGTGCTCCGCCATCATTATTGGCACCACCTTCGTCGTTACCATCCCAACCACCAACATCACCATCTTGTTCATTGCCAAACTCAGGATCCATTCGTGCATCAAGCTCTGCTGAATATTGGGACAGAGATTCTAGGGTTTCATCGTCGTATTCCTCCTCATTCTCGTTGTTAACAATAACCGTTTCACCATGATGAATCCACACTGTGTAGTCCTCAACAAATCCTCGTATAATCAAATATGATCTAATGATAGTCACATATGTCCATGTCATATGGTTCTTACAATCTTTACAGGGACAAATAATTGTATCCTTATTCTCTGTGAACGTCGTTGCATGCTTCTCTGCGGCTTCAATAAATTTATCCACCTCTTCACAGAAACCTACCTTAAACCTTAACGAACCATATATCCAAGAGTTCCTGTACTCCATCTTTTACAATAACAATAAAACAAACATTAAAGGACTACTTATTCAGATATATATATAAAAATGAATCAAATTAATAATTACTTGATAATAATTGTATATACTTTAGATATATATGAATATAAATCAAATATAATTACATGAAGTATACAAACATACCATGGTAGAGGAAAATTAATTAATGGTCTATTTATCCATAAATAATTAAAATACATATTTGTTGATTACAATAAACAATTTTAAAGATAATAATTAGCAACAATTAATATTTTACCCAATATCTTTCACGCAAACCCTAGTCGAATTTTATCAAACATAAATTTACAAAAACAAAATTAATAAAAAAACCAAACCCTAGATCTAGATCTACATGCACATGAAACATCCATAAAACTAACTAATTGTTTACTAAAATCAAGAAACATTGACCAAATAAGGGTATGATCTTGTTCCCCTACCTAATTTATCCTAGTACATTCAAAACATGGGTCTAATTTGCTTCATAAGTAGCTCAAGCACCATAGAAGAGAGAGAAAAACAAAATTCTAATTACTCACTAACCAACCATTAAAACTTCAAAAAAATTGTGGAATAGTATTTTCTTACCTTCTACAACCGCTCCACCAAAGAATTTGAGATCAAAATCTCTCACCCTTAGTAGAGCAATTTTTGGGAGATGCCTAAGGCATCCCTACCTTTTTTCACGGGTTGAAGTGAGTGATCCGAGGGAAAAGAAGGGAC